CCACTGTACTGCCTCATTTTATATTTTTATATAATTATTAAAATAATTTAATTAATATTCGATTAAAATATATCTATGAATATAAGCTCCTGAGAACCTCCATCTTTATTTGAGATCATTGATTTTAGACATGTTGTCCTTATTCAGAGGTGTTACATTTTAATTTTTATTAATTGTTTTATTTTAAACAAAATATAAATTTATGTTTTTAACTCTTAAATGTTAAAAAAAGAAGTGTTTGTTTTTAAATTTATGAGGTTCTATTCCTAAATAGAAAGGGGAAGTGAAAAAGGAAAAACCTGGGTACTCATGAGGATAAAACTAGGGGGGCCACTGGGGTGGCCAGCTTATCCTCAGGGGGGCCATGGCCCCCACCTGCTKGCGCCCCTGCCTTAAAAYCCTTCAAAATGTTTCTAAGTCTTTACAGCACCTTCTGGTTCGGCTCTTTTCTCATCCCTGGTGCAAATTTGAGCAACTTTTCGGCTAATTTTAGCTTTTATCTGCTATTTAAGCAGCAATTCTGCTTCTTTCTGCTTTTCTTCTGCTATTTTCGTGCTTCTTTTGGCTATTTTGGCTATTTGCTGCATTTTTATCTAATTATCAGCTGTTATTAGCTGAAGTTAGCTTTTTCAGCTAATTTCACATTTTAGTGGCTATTTTAGCATCTTTCTGCTTAGTTCAGCAAATTTGTATTCTTTATGCCTCCTTACATTTTCCAGCTACATTTTAGCTGTTTTACTGCACATTTAGGCTGTTTTAGCTATTTTACAACACACTGTTGCTTTTTTGTATTTTTATGCATTTTTTCTGCAAATTAAACCTTTTTTACACCCATTTCATCTGTGTGCTAACTTGTGTCTTCTACCTTTAGATAGTTTTTAAGCTAATTGTAGCTTTTTTTCTGCTTTTTCATCTATTTTTCTGCTTCTTTTAGCTACTTTTCTGCTAAGTTAACCTTTTTATGCTTCTTTCAGCTTTTCAAATTGAACTGGTGTTAAYAGTTTTGCAATTAAACAATTTCAGCTCCATCTCAGCAGCTTTCAGCTCAAGTTTTCAGCAACAAGCATTCACCTGCTTCGAACAGTCCGGACACACTGGATGGCACTGATAACTGCTGATAACGTCCATTTAATGGACTGACAACTTTCAAAGTGGGAGTTTTTCATTTGAAATGCAATTTCTTTAATTAATAATAATAACTGATGACTTCATCAAACTTTAAAACATTTTACCATCTTCTCTGTCTAAATAATCTCTAATTTGATTCATGCAAATATTTGCAAATTTTAAATCTGAATTTGTGTGTAGGGGGGGATTAATCTACAATTAATTTCACTTGTCAATCAAGTGTTTGAGTTTATTTACGCGCAGCGGGAACGCAGAGGCTGGGAGAAGATAATTAACTGGAATTATTGAGACATTTCACACGGCTGCGCTCAGAACAGCACCGGCTCTAATTTGGTTTTGGATGTGACCCGGACTGATTATCCCGAGTCTCAGTTTTCATTACAGAGCCCTGACTGCACATCACTGTCTGCACATGCTGCAGGAGCCTCCACACGGCTGACGCTTCAAGCCCCAAACCTGCAGAAGAGAAACAAACGGTTGATTAATGGCTTTTCATTCTGTCAAACGATGGTTGTGTTGGGAGAGCTGGGTGATGAACAGTGCCTGGGAGGGAGGGGCAGAGCTTAATGACGCATCCAGATTTGTTTTTTTTCCTGCAGGAGTTGCAAAAGTCAAAATGCAGTTTCACTCATTTCAGTATTTCCTGAGTCAAATGAGATCTTTGTTACAATTTTTCTAATTGGCTGCATTATTTATTTATTTATTTATTTATTTATTTATTTATTTAGGCAAATTGTTTGTCTGCATTCTTAATACACATCTGAAGATCTTGTGAAGACCCTGCAAAGACCACCCATGCTGTGGCAGATTTTTAACTCCTAGTAGAGTCAACATCCAGAGTGACGCCTTAAAACTTGAAGATTTGTGTCATTCCCATCCCGTTCCCCAACTGCCATTTGGGGAGGGGGTCCTGAAGAAGGGCGGACTGCCGGGTGCAGTCCTGGGCTGTGGGTGGGCTCGGGGCTTGGACGGTTGCCGGGGGCAGGGCTGGCTCTCTGTCCTTCCTGGTGCTGCTTAGTCTCCTGAGGTGGCCCGCTGGCCGGGGTGGCTGCTGGGTTCCGGGGGGTGGACGGCTGGGGGGGTGCACTTTGTCTCTGGCGGTGTGGTTGGTCATGGGTGTGGCTTCTTTGCGGCGGGGGGCTGGCCGGGTGTCCTGGTGCGGCCCGGGCCGGGCCTTGGCTACCTGCTCTT